CTTTCTCCGCCTCCCCCTCCAGCCCCCAGGCGGCGGCCGCCGTTTCGCCGCCAGCTACCCCTGCTGCTGCCGCCGCCGCCGGCCGGGCTCCCGCAGTCGCCGCCGCGGCGCTCCCCGCCTCTGGGTTCATCTTCCCGGCTCCTCTCTCCAGCGCCGCCTGCTTCCTACTGCGGGTCATGGAGGCAGCGGGACGGGGTGGCGGGACAGACGCCGCGAAGGCAGCGCGGACACAGCGCCGAGGGCAGGCGCCGCCGGGTGTGAGCAACGATCGATGTCCTGCGCCCAGCACAAAATGGCGCTTTAAAGTCCCGGGCGGGGCCTGCGCGCGCCCGCCCCCCCCGCGCCGCCCGTTGGCCCGTTCGAAACGCGTCGGGCGGGCCCGGCCCCGCCCCGCGGGGGGCGGCGGCCGCGGGGGGCCCCGGAGCCTCCGACCCCCACAGGGGGGTTACCGCGGGGCTCGGCCGGCCCGGACCCCAGCGTGACGCCGAGCCCCGAGCCCCCTATCCCCAGCAGGGTGTCCCAGCTGGAGGCCCCTTCCCTCAGGGAAGGGCGCGGCGGTGCCGCCTTGTGTGGAGGGCGTTGAGTCGTGTGCCGGCATCGCGCCTCGCTCCCAGGGTGAGGATCCTCACAGGGAGATCGACGAAGGTGGTTTGGTGACTGAAATGTGTTTGAGAGTAAGGGTTTGGTTGGACGCTTCGGTGAGCAAGCTCCCCGGACGAGGAACCATGAATACACTGATGGAAATGACAAAAATAGGTCGACAGACATGATAGAGTGAAGTCCTTCACATGATATTAAATACATCTGTCCTGTTGCAGTGGAGGTTTTTAACATGAACCTGTAGGCCGGTCAGTCAACCACAGTGTAAGTCACAGAATCACAGAACAGTCAAGGCTGGAAGGAACCTCTGGAGGTACCTGGTCCAACCTGTCTGCTCAAGTAGAGCCACCTAAAAAGCAGGTTATCCAGGATCGTGTCTGAATGGCTTTTGAATATCTCCAAGGATGGAGACTCCTCTCTCTGGTGATGACTGATAGGACATGAGAAATCTGAATGAAGCTGCATCAGGGGAAGTTCAGATATGACATTGGGAAAAAGTTCTCTGAGAGGGTAGTAGGCTCCCCAGAAAAACGATCACAGCACCAACCCCGTCAGAGTTCAAGCAGCATCTCAGTTATGGTCTTTCTCATATGGTTTAGTTTTAGGCATTCCTGGGAGGAGCAGAGCAAAGAAAGCACTTTGTGGGTGCTTTCAATCTCTCTGGGCAACCTGTGCCAGTGCTTGGTCACCCTCACAGTAAAAAGGTGTTTCCTCATGTGTGGAGGGAACTTCCTGTGTTTCAGTTTGTGCCCATTGTCTCTTGCCCTGTCACTGGGCACCATGAGAAGGGTCCAGCTCCACCCTCTCTGCAGCCTCTCTTAAGATATCAGTATACACTGATGAGATCCCCCTGAGCTTCTCTTCTCCAGGCCGAACAGTCCCAGCTCACTCAGCTTTTTCTCACAGGAGAGATGCTTCAGCCTCTTCATCATCTTTGTGGCCCTTTGTTGGACTCACTCTGGTGGGTCCATGTCTCTCTTGTACCGAGGAACCCAGAACTGGACACAGTACTCCAGGTGTGGCCTCACCAGCACTGAATAAAGTGGAAAGATCACCTCTCTCAGGCTGCAAGCAATACTCTGCGTAATGCAGCCCAGGATACTTTTTTGTGGCAAGGGCACATTGCTGGCTCATGTTCAACCTGGTGTCCACCAAGACCCCCCGGTTCTTTTCTCCCAAGCTGCTTTCTGTCAACACTGAAATATTTACAGCATCAGTGGAATTGGCTTGATATCCCAACAAAGCATGTCCCAAATGAAGGAGTAAAAACTTGTGCTGGTCGAGCCCTTTGAGAGTCACCACCTCTCTGAATCCACAGCACCATTTCTTCCTGCACGGCACTGCTACAATTGCACAATTTTGTCAGCTGTTGTGAAATCCCATGTCCCTCTAGATCATGCTTTCCAATACTTCAGAGATTGCTGTCACAGGGAGAGTGTCTTGTTAGGTTCCCAGAATGTTGCAATTAAACCAGAGCTCTTTCCAGCACCCAGAACAGCAAGGTGTCAGCAAGGATAGCGATGGTTTAACCTTTCGCTACAAATCCTGCTGGGGGTTTGATTAGACCCCTAACTAATTACTTTCTCTCAGCATTGGTAAAGGGTGAGGAATAACATTTTTCTTTGTAGACAGTCTTTGTTCTGTAATTAATCTTTCAGCTTAGAATAGGGAAATCTTTTATTCTCAACTCATCAAGAACTTAAATTGGAATGTCTAGAAATCCAGTCAAGTAGGAGGCAGAAATTCTGTGTAAGAAATTATTCCTTACTGCCAGTGGAAATAATTAATTTTCTTCACTGTATAATTCAACCTGTGTTCATGGGAAACTCAAGAATATTAATCCAAATAACCATTTAAAGTGGATATTAACAAAGCTATTTTAAATCTTCATGGGAACAATCTCGAGGTACAGCCATGTTCTAAACCAGCTTTATAAATGACCTATTTTGTTAAAAAGAAACCTTTTCCAAAATGATGGTGTTAGTGCCATTTTTAATCATATTCATTTCTCAGCATACTGTGCTGCAAAGCACAGTCATGTAGCCAGATTGATTTAAGTGAAGGAGATGTCCTATGAAGCAGAGAATAAAAGCCCAGAGCTGGAAGCATTAGGGACAGGCATCTCTTGATCCAGCCATGCTGCTGTTAGTCACACGCTGCTGTATGAGGGTCGCAGCCACAGGGTCACCACAGCTTATCAAGTGGCTCATCACCTGCTGGACCACAAGAGCTGACCTGTGCTCACGTTCTCAGTGGCAGGAGCTATCACACTATCCAGTTCAGCAGCTCACCTGACAAGTGGGCCCTCGTTAAACTGCAGAAATCCAGTTGCCCATTGGCCATAACCTTTCTCCAGAAATCACGAACATTTCTGGCATATGACTCAAAAATCATGGAAACAGAGATGGAGAATTTTCAGCAAGCAGTAAATGAGTCACTATAAACTACAAGTGAAAAGAGAGGTCAGCACATTTTTGTCTTAATCAGAATTTATTCATTATTTGGATTTTTTTGCTTCCAGGATGGACAATAACATTTTAAGGCACGGGATATAATCTCACTTTTACAACTTCATTATGAGTTTTCTGCAGTGTAACACTCCCGTTTTAATATCCTACAAAGTCATCTCAAGAAAATCCACAGTAATTGGCTATCTTTAAGTAATTTCCAGTAGCTCAGTACAGTAATAACGATGATAATAAAATTAATAATTCTTTGGAAGTGCATAGCTCTTCATTTCAATCATACTACATCTTGTAAGCATTAATTATCACTCACAGAACTCATGAGTTATATAAGTAAATATTGCCTTTCCTTAATAGATGAATAAAGTGAAAAAGTGGATGAAATGGCTTGACTAAGATGTGTAGACTTGATGACTTAATTTTCTGTAGATCTTCTCACAATCATTATTCTAAAAATACAGGAAATGTCTACATTGGAACAGAGAATAGTAAAAAAAAAACCACTCTGTAATCTTTGTTCTCAATTATTTGTTAGAATTTCTTTTCTTTATAGAATTCTTGAGAATGACAAGTAAAGTAACAATTCAGAAATTGGTACACTAATTGCTACACAACAAAGACACTTTATTTTCTTTAAAAAATTCCTTCCTAGTACCACAAAAAACTCGCAGGTAACTGATAATTATTTTAAATGCTAACAATCTTATGATCCCACCATTTTGAGTCCTGCTGATGAATCCTAAAATTCTGGATATTAAGTCACACCACTTATGCTGCCGGGACTTTTCCTCCAGCATACTCTTGCTCTTCTACCCAGATCAGCAAGAACAGGCTTACTGTCCAATGTCGTCTTCTAATATCTTTACCTCTGCTATTGAGAGGTTGCATTAACTGGCAGCCTGCTTCAGTTAATTTGATTCCTAAATGTCTTTAGCATACTTTCAGGAAAGTTTGCCTGGCAGTGCAAACATGACTCCACATCCATTAGCAACTAAACTTCAGATATTACCCATTAGTCATCAGGTTCCTGGGTCTGAGAAGTGCTCAGACAAGCACTGGCAAAATTCCTGAAAATACTTTAAAAACCAGACAAAGGCAAATAATTTACAAGAATAGTTTCTCAAGCAGTTATTTGAGGGAAAAAAATGCAGAATCACTGTGTGTAGAAATCACAGCTGCAGTCAAAAAGGGAAATAGAGTGTTAGGAATCACTATGGAAGAGATAGAAAGCAAAACAGAAGAGAGCATTCTGCTGAATGTAGGTCCATTGTGCCTCCACAAACCTTGAGTACTGTGCATTTCTAGTCTTACCATCTCTAAAAGAATATAGCAATGATACAAAGAAGGGCAATTGGGATGAGTAAAAATATGGAACATCTTCTCTATGAAAAGAGATTAAATAGGCTAAGACTCTTCAGCTTGAAAAAAACAGATGGCTGAGAATGAATATGATAAAGATTTATAAAACTGTGATAGTACAAAGAAGGCAGATAAGAAATTATTATGTCTTAGTTTTCATAATCTAAGAATGACAGGGAAGCAGATGAAGCTATAAAGCAGAAAACTTTAAACGACCAAAAAGATATGACTTTTTTTTTCTGATGACTCATAATTCCTCTGCGGAGCTCATTTTCCAGCTAAGTTGTGGGTCCCAGAATGGAAAAATGTACCCTAGTACATTTACAGGCATTACAGAGCACACCATTCAAAATGATTAGACATGACTGAAAGAAAAAAATTCATCAATAACTGTTGCACATGAAAACCTTGGGCTTAGAAAGGCCATAAGCCAAGGGCTAGGAAAGGAAGGAAGAATATATCTGTGGAAGTAACTCTCAATGTTTGCAACATTCTCACACACTTTCCCTAACCTTCCTCTTCTGGCCTCTAACAGACAGGGAAGCTGGACATGGTGAACCCTGGAACTGGACATCAAAGCTGGTTCTATTCTATGAACCTGTTAGAAGGCAGAAGAGTGAATCCGCATCAATCAAATGCAGTATTTCTTTCCCAGAGCTGTACTGTTTCATCAGTTTGCAGCAACTAAAGAAGATATTCTTGAGCTAAAAAGGAACAAAGCATTTGCAGAGAAAGAAATGCAGAGGTTACAAAATCCACCAGCAGCCAAGAGCCACACTCAGGCAGGGGCACAGTAAGAATGCAGCCTGAGGTAAAGTGTATTCCACTGGTTCCGACCATTACATGCTCATTTTTCACTTTGTTCATTGCCTCAATACAATTTCAAAACGGTGACTGACTACATTAGAGGGGAAGAAAGGATTTTTTTTTATATATAAGCTTTTATTTTAATAGCATTCATTGTCAGTAACGTTTGAAAGAGGAAAAATTCTCTAACATATTTCAGCAGAAGACTTTGATACACTCAAAAAAACACTGAAGGAGAAGTAAAAATAAAAATACACAAAGAGGCATGCTTTGTGATACAGAGAGCACTCCTGGAAGGTATTTCAGCAGAGGCTGTTTAACATTTGTTTTCACATTCTGGGAAGTTATCTGTATGTGATGAACATAACCATACAAACTCTGCATCACTTGTGTTGTCATTGCCCTGCAATTAATAAATGCTGATAATAGCTGTGTTGGTGGTCACTACAGTCTTGAGGGCCAGCAATGGTCTCTTGGTCTAAAACATTAGGCCCTTGAGTTTTACATCCAATGTGAAAACTTTTCTTGCTAATCCTGTTTTTATTTCATCTTATTTTTCTCTTATTCCTTTCAGTCTACCTAAGCCATCTGTTTTACCTCTCCTGTTGGCTTTGACTGTATTATTACCAAATGTTCTATCTTTTCTGCTCCTAGGGCAGTTCAGGCGATGTTAATGTTACTGTAGACAAAGTAACATTACTTAAACCACTGTGTCATCTCTGGAAAATCAGTGCAAAAGAGACATGCTGACATATGCATCGTGTTGTCTTCACCAAGGAAGTTGGTAAGGCGAGTAATCAAACAGTGGGATGTGGTGTAGGTAGAGCATGCAGGTTTTGGAAACTGAGTATGCTAGACCAAGGGGGGAAAGCCCCCCAACACTGTGATTATGCAATAAATGCTTCCACAGATTAGATTATTTCACAATACCTATCCCATTTTCTTTTGTGTTCTTACCTATTTCATTCTAGGACAGCTTCCAAATAAAGCTTCAGAAGGAGGATTGAGCTCTGCAGACCTCAGGCTGCTGAGAGTGCCTGGAGCCCTTCATTGGAGCGAGACCAGTAGGAGGTTGTCTTCTAGCCTGCAGGAGACATGTTCATTGTTGAGAAAACCGTCACCATGAGAAGATGTCACCAGGGTGAGCAACAACACAAGAAAAAATGGTTTTAAGGGCGATTGCAATTTCAACCAGGTTACACAGAGAGGATGTAGAGTCTCAATTCTCGGAGCTGTTCAGAAACCTACTGTACAAGGTCCTGGGCAGCCTGCTTTTGCTGATCCTGCTCTGAACAGTGGGGTTGGAGCAGATGATTGCAGATGTCCCTGCAAACCTCCACAGTACTGTGAATCTATGGTTCTGTTGACTGAAAAAAGGCAAAGCCTTTTTTTTCCTTTTTCTTCTTTTTCTTTTTATCTTCTTTTTTTTTTAAGTTCTGTTTTCTGCTGGTATAATTTCTGCTGGAACATTCTCTTTTTTCTATTTCTTCAGTTACTTTCTGTCTAAAATATGTTTCCTACTGTAGATCCTTCAAATGATAATCCTCACTTATAAAACAGAAATATAATCTGGGCTACTTTCTAATATGGAACCAAGTGGTATGGTTTTAGTATTATCAAAGGTGTAAAATGGGTCAGTCCAGTACTGCTTTCCGAATATAATTCCATCATAAGAAATACGTTGCTCAAGAATATGGTTCTCACACGTCACAGACCATGTCATCTTGTAATATTGATCACACTGTTTCCTGAGGCACCCTATTAAAGTACCATCACTGTTGGAACAAATGTGAATTTCATTCACTTGTCTCAAACCAGACATTTTTTAAAGCCTACTAGCAATTATTTAATAACCTTATTAATTAAATCTTATTTCTTGATACTGTGTGGCTGAGCATGTCAGTTCAGGAATTCTTTCCGTGATATCCTCCAGCCTGTGCTGCCATTTTCCTTCCTACCAGATTTGTGCTTTGCCAGATGAGCTGACAGGACAAATTCATAACAGAGGGAGCCGCAATTGATATTTTTTTTGTTTAACTTGCCACAGGATACAATGCAATGTTTATACTGGATTTATATTTTATGCTGGCCTAGGGAGGACACAATACATGATACAGCATAAAGTCCATGGAGAGAAGATACCCTCCAAAATGCTCTGAGTGAATTAGAGAAAGGGAGTTGATACTAGCTCGGCTTTGTATGTCATATAGATGTAGCTTTATTAGATAGATACTTACATCAGCTTTACTGTGTCACTGGACCACGTCTTAGTCAGGCTCGCCTTTATTTGTTCTCTTTGTCCCAAATGAATCCTGCAAACCTTACTGCCCGCTGTGTTTGCTTTAATGGAAAGTGACAGAAACCAATCTTTTTTTCAGGTCGCCTCTGGCAGAGGATAGTAAGCTTCAGACACTTTAGGTGGAAAAGGGTCTTGATCTCTCTGTTTCAGTGAAAGTTGTAAGCAGTCAATTATCATGTAGATGTTGGCTCTTAGCATTAACACCTCCTTTTGAATCTCTCTTTTGTTCTCGAAGTTAGGCACGGGCTTCAAAAGCCTGGAAGGCTTATCTCCGAACTGCTCCCTTGCTCCTACCAAGGGCCCCGTGTTCCCGCGGCCCCTGTTTGCAGCGCTGGGAGCCGGCACGGGAGACCTGGAGTAGGGAACGAGGAGGTATCACGTCACCTCACATGAGCTGAATTCCTTTACTAAACTGAGATTTTGCCCCGGCTTACACCTGCTAGAGTTCCACCCATATTACATTTAGCTGTATCACCTTCTATTCCTTGAAAGTATTTTTAATGTTATTCAATGCAGATCCAGTTCAAACCCCTCAACTGTGATTTATAAAAACTTCCCAAAATATTCGAATAATTTATCGTTCTGTAATGCTTGATTGATAGTATTCTTTATAATCCTTTTAAAATTCTTGTTAATTCATTCCAGCACATAATAAATATCAAAAGTGGATAATGTGAACACATTATTTTGACCCTTTTTTTATAACATATTTACAAAGAAAGAATAAAAATAGAATGATAATACCTTGAGAACTGGGCTTTTAGATTTTCAAATGAAAGAAAAGATTCTCTGTAGCTGTAGATACCCTTCATTTCAATACAGGCACAGTAACTGATACTAGCTGAGGTTCTGACTTTATACATGACCTGCATTATTATAAATGTTCTCCAGAAAAAAAAAGGCAATTTCATTCATACTCATGAAACTGAAATGGCTTCAGGTGGATGAGTAGCTCATTTACTGGTATTTTAAAATTATCTTTAAGAAATACAGTGAATTTCTTAATGTCTTTGTTCTCACAGGGATATGTGTGAGTGTTATAAACCAGCACTTGCATTAAATATTTTTCAAAATATAAAAATGCCCCAAATTTTAATTGTAAAGTGAAAAAGTGAGTTAACAAATCATGTATATTTGATTCCCACTCCCCCCGGGTACCTTTGGAAGGCTCCTCCAAATAAGAAATGATAGTTATTTAACCTTTTACTGATTTAATTCAACCCATGGTAAGGCCTAGTGTGGTCAGTCACTCCAGTTTGTGTGGCATTTCAGTTTAGTTTATACTGGCTCCTGTTCAGTTTAAGCTCAAAGGGCCGTTGTTGCTCACATTTGAGAGTATCCACATACAGGTTACTACTGGTTTAATTAAAGCCATCTAATTAAGACAGAATTTTCACTGTTCATTAGCATTCTTCTACATCTGCATTTTGAGTCGCAGGTTTTTGACACTGGGAGCCTAAAGTTAAAGTCTGAAGTTAATGCATTGTCTGGAGGGAGCTGCTTAGTGCTTGGCATTTGCAATTCATGGCCCGAGCCATTCATTATTTCCTTGCAGGCAGTGAGAACTGCAAATGGTCCATCACTTTGGAAAAAGTGAACATTATTTAGAAGTGTAAATGAAGATGCCAGAGGCTAATCTCAAGTCTTGGCTGGCGTCTCTGCTCTGTAGCAATGGATTGGACATATTGTAGCAAAGAAACACTAAATTTATCCTCAGTATTACATGTTATATGCCCCAGAACCATCTTCCCTTTCATATTCCTCATACTCTCCATTCCTTTTCTGGCTTCTTTCTAATCCAGATTCTTCCTGGTCGTCCCTCCCTGACTGAAAGCTGAATCACTGAAATTCCTGCCCATTTGCTTCCTGCTAAGATGAGCCGGTATTTCCAAAAGCACCACTTCCTCCCACTGACTAATATGGTACAATATCCTACAATACAGGTTTACTTTGCTTGCTGCGTGTTCTGTTTTGTCCCACAATGCTTATAGAATCGAACAATTTAGTTACAAAGTAAATATGATCATATGTAGATCTTGATATGTACGTGCCATGTACAATAGCCAAGGAAAAATAAGTTGGGAAAAAAACAATAGAGACAACTAAAAAGTTGAGACTGAGAGTCCAGGACTGATGTAACAATTATCGATAATGAACTGTTGCTGAAAATGGTTGCCAGACGTAATCTCTCTTTCCATAAAATTTGGACAAACAAAACCAAAGCAAATACCCAAAACCAACCAACCAAACCCAAACCTAACCAAACCAAACCAAAATAAAAAACAAACAAACAAACAAAAATAAACTCACCAAGGCAGAGATTGTAGAATGGCTTTCCCCAGAGGCAGGCATTTCCTAACAGACAGTTCTTCTGCCAGAAGAGGTTAAAACACGTGAATATGGAGAGCTGTCCAATTATAGAAAAGTGGAAAGATTAGAAAGGGATTAGAAAATGAGCAGAGAAAGATAAGTGGATTGCAAGGAAATGCTTCACCTGATAGCAAACTAAATCAGATGCATTTTAAATCACTGAAGTGTCTGTGTAGGCTAGCTGTCAGCATGGATATGGGCATTTTAGCCATTTATCTCCATTGATTTTAGAAAAATGTTATGCTTAGTTTAGATAGGAGTCCTCTGGGACTCCTCTGATTCAAGTGAAATTTAATCTGTCACAGTTTTAGATATATTTTCAGTCAAAACTGGTCATTTCCTCCTACCAGTCTCTTCTTTAAATTAACCTACATCACTTATGTAACACCCAGAGCAGAAGTGGACAGATCTGTGGCAAAAACAAATTGCCCACTGCTAAATCAGTTCAGCTTCTATGCAGCCTTCTCCTGTCCCTCCCTATGGACTATCTTCCAGTTCGTTAGCTTTCCTAGAAGTCACTTACCACTTCATACTTGTGAACCAATCCCTAGTTACTTCCACTTCAAACAGCATCTCCAGGTTCTGATCCAGAGATGCACCACTTAGCTATGACCAGTAAAAAGGAATTATTTTCAGCAGTATGTCATGTGTTGATATTAAAGATGAACAAACCAAGCAAAACTAGCTAAAAGAGTTTTCACTGGGAAACCCTTTGGATATATAGCTCCTAATACAGACTACAGCTACTGGTTATCTGGCACACGCATGTTAGATGTAAACTCTCCTGTTATCACTCAACCCAGTTGTCTCAAACTATGGCTAATACAGTGTAGGATTTCTTTAGTAAAGTTCATTGGCACTACTGCATTTTGTAGACCTGACTAATATGCACTGGCAGAAAAACATGAACCATGGTCTCCCAAAAGTGTTGTAAGTCCTGAGCTGTTGCTTGCTTTAAATTTATCACCAAAATAACTATTCTGAAAATTCTGATGTCTACGGCAGGATAAAATATTTTTAATATTTTGAACATATACATATCTTCAGGACAAAACCCATCTTTCCTGTCCAAGCTCAGCTGATGCAGAAATATAGTTCACCATATCTAACAGTTTCTGCATTTGAAATGCGGAGCTGTGTAAGGTGAGAGAAACGGTGCTGGGGGCAGCACAGGCAGGCTGTTTCACCAGGGAAGGCATGGAGGGCAGGAGCTGAGGGTGATAACATTGCTGCCTCATCTATGAGGTGTCAGGAAGTTGAGATGATGAGTCTGGATCAGGAGCAGGTCTGGAGGCAGTGATCAGAGTCAGCCTCAGGCCACTGATCAGCCAGGAGGTCTGTCACATTGAATCAGGTCTGAGGCCAAGTCAGGAAGTCAAGACAAACCAGGGTGCCAAGGTCCAAGTCAGAGGGAGAAGGTCTGAGAGGAGGGGCAGACAGCTGCAAACCAAAGAGCATTAACATAAAAGCAGCACTGGAGGGAAGGAGGCCCTCTCTTCATTTCTTTTGCAACAGTTTTTACCAGTGAAGAGGC